ATTCGTGAGAGAACCCCGTAACTTGATAGGAACCGTGAGAGTTTTCCTGTAAATTGGAGGATTCGTGAGAGAACCCCGTAACTTGATAGGAACCGTGAGAAGTTTCCTGTATATTGGAGGATTCGTGAGAGAACCCTGTAAATTGATAGGAACCGTGAGAGGTTTCCTGTAAATTGGAGGATTCGTGAGAGAACCCTGTAAATTGATAGGAACCGTGAGAGGTTTCCTGTAAATTGGAGGATTCGTGAGAGAACCCCGTAACTTGATAGGAACCGTGAGAGGTTTCCTGTATATTGGATGATTCGTGAGAGAACCCTGTAAATTGATAGGAACCGTGAGAGGTTTCCTGTAAATTGGAGGATTCGTGAGAGAACCCTGTAACTTGATAGGAACATTTGTGATCCTGTGATTTGAAACTTAATGCAGAAATTGATCAATAGTAAAGGGAAACTGGTTCGTTTTATTTGAAATAATAATAATGAAAGACAAAAGTTGAAAGACAACAGTGTTGTGAGTCATGAGAGACTTAGCTATAAAATGTCTTAAGCTTGTCTGCATTCCATGTGCGTATATAGTGTCTCAATTACATATGCCCCCTTATCAGTTTTGCTGTGGATGCGATAAGGTCCTTCCCAGTTTGCAGCCAGTTTGCCCTGTAGCGCGTTCTTATTGCCAATGTCCGCTCTGTGTAGGACTAAGTCGCCCACGTTGAAGCCTCTTTTGACAACCTTTAAGTTGTAGTGCGCTGCAATCCTCTGTTTGAGTGCTTCTTCCTTGACATGCGCGATCTGTATTTCCTCTAAAGTGTCTAAATTATGAAGTAATGCCTGCGAGTTGCTGTATGAGTTTGTGTACATCTTTCTCCATGATGGTTCCCCAATTTCAACTGGGATCATAGCCTCAGAACCGTAGACCATGCAAAATGGGGTTTCACCAGTGGTTGAGTGTTTGGTTGTTCTGTAACCCCATAGCACAAAGTCTAACTGTTCAGGCCACTCCCATTTTGCTGCTTCTAATCTTCTTTCCAATCCGCGTTTGAGAACTCGATTCGCAACTTCTGCCAATCCGTTTGTTTGTGGATGTTCAACCGACATAAATCGGTGTTTGACATGCAAATCCTGAAGGATCTGATTGAATTTTCTGTCCACAAATTGTTTGCCATTATCTGTTATGATGTTATGTGGTACACCGAACCGACTGATGATCTGTCGGTAGAAGAATTGGCGAACCTTGTTGGCTGATATTGTGGCTAACGCTTCTGCCTCAATCCATTTGGAAAAGTAGTCAATTGCTACTAACAACCATTTGACTCCTCCGACGGCGACTGGGAATGGTCCCAGAATGTCAATACCCCATTGGTAAAATGGCCATGGGGATAGCATTGAAGATAATTCCTCGGGGGGAGCATGGTGTAAGTCTGCGTGCTCTTGGCACTTGACACAATGTCGCACATGTTTTTTGGAGTCTTCTTCCATGGTAGGCCAGAAGTATCCTGCCCGGAGTAACTTTCGAGATAAAGACTTACCTCCTATGTGGTGTCCGCCAATTTCCTCATGTACTTCAGAGATTACGTACCGAGCATGTTGGGGATCTAAGCATTTAAGCAATGGGGAAGAGAATCCTTTTTTGTAAAGCTGGTTATTGAGGATGGTGTAGAATGAAGCTTTGCGCTCTAGTTTTTTAGCCACGCGTGTTTCTTGTGGTGCCTCTCCTTTGACTAGATAATTCCAAATTGGTGTCATCCAAGTTTCTTTATCGTCAGGTGACATAGATTCATCCTCAACCATGGATTGGGTGCTTGGGGATGGTTGAGATTGTCGTTTAGTTACGGCCATTATGACGCTGGGATTAAGGATGCTTTGTTGGATCATTGTTTTGTTGTTTCCAGGTCCTTTTGTGCTAGCTAACTTGGATAAAATGTCAGCCCGTGAATTTTGTTCTTTAGGGATATGCTCCACTTTGTAGCTTTGAAACTCTGTCAGTAGTAGTCTCACTTTTTCCAGTCCTTGGCCTGATAGCTTCCTTGAACTTGAGCAGTTACCAATTGTGAATCACTCTTGAGATTTATATGTGTGGCCCCCAAGTCTTTGGCCATGGCGAGTCCTGCGAGGACTGCTTCATATTCAGCCTGATTGTTTGAAGCTTTGAATCCAAAATGGATACAGTGTTCCACTGTAATACCTTGAGGGCTTTCCACTATTACTCCTGCACCACTTCCCTTGATATTGGAAGAACCGTCGACGTAAATGATCTAATCGACGCTGTCCTCAGCCTCATGTAAGTGTGTCATTTCGACCAAGAAGTCCGCTAATACCTGGGCTTTAATTGCCTGTCGCGGTTCATAGATGATGTCGTATTCTGACAACTCTATTGACCCTGAGATCATGCGGCCTGCTAAATCAGGTTGTCTAAGCACTTGTCGAAGAGGCTGGTTTGTCCTGACTCTGATAGTGTGCCCCTGGAAGTAATGGCGCAGGCGTCGCGATGTTAAGATCAGTGCGAAAGCGACTTTTTCAATCTGTTGATAGCGCAGTTCTGGTCCTTGGAGTGCTTTGCTGATGAAGTATATGGGCTGTTGTTCCTGGGCTTCTTCGCGCAAGAGGACAACGCTTATGGCCTCATTACTGACGGAAAGGTAAAGGACCAAGGGTTCATTGGGTGGAGGCTTGACCAAGACTGGTGGGTTGGCCAAATGTTCTTTGATGGCCAAGAACCCTGCCTCGCACTCTGGATTCCAGTTGAAGTCTGTCTGTTTGCGCAAAAGTTTGAACATGGGCAATGATTTTTGAGCTGAAGCAGGAAGGAATCTGGTTAGAGCAGTATTCTTCCTGTCAGTTGTTGCGGTTCCTTTATGTTTTGCGGGCTTTTCATGCCGAGAATGGCGTTGCATTTGTCAGGGTTGGCCTCTATCCCGCGATGTGTGAGCATGAATCCTAAGAATTTTCCAGCAGGTACTCCAAACGCGCATTTAGTTGGATTAAGTCGTAGCCTGTATTTGTGCAGTTGTTGAAATACCTGTTCCAAATCTTGAGGATGTTGTGCAGTTGTCATTGTTTTGACTATCATATCATCAATATAAACTTCCAACATTTGTCCAATCTGCTGGCTGAAGACTTTGTTCATCATACGTTGATAAGCGGCTCCAGCATTTTTGAGACCAAATGGCATCATATTGTAACAGTAGGTAGCTTTTTCAGTGATAAAAGTTGTGGCTTTCTCATCTGGTGTGAACATTGGAATTTGGTTGTAGCCAGAATACGCGTCTATAAAGGATAGGATTTGGTATCCTGTAGAATTGTCGACCAGCTTGTCGATGGTGGGAAGTGGATAAAAGTCCTTTGGGCAGTGTTTGTTGATATCTGTGTAATCAGTACACATGCGCCATTTTCCATTGGGTTTCTTGACTAATACCACATTGGAGAGCCAGGTAGAGTAAGTGATTTCTCTTATCACTCCAGCATCAAGTAATTTTGCTACTTCAGCTTTAACCGCCTGTTGTTTCTCAGGGGATATTTTACGCTTTTTCTGCGCGATGAGTTTTGCTTTGGGATCCAAGGTTAAATGGTGACATATTATCCCTGGGTCTATCCTTGGCATGTCCGCGGCTGTCCATGCGAAAAGGTCTTTGTTATTTTGCAATATGGTTATCAGCGCGCTTTTTTCAGCTTCTTGGAGATTTCGTCCAATTTTGGTAGTGTTTTCGGGAAGTGGGCCTATTTGGAGGTCTTCCAACTCCCCATCAGGTTGAGGACGAATATCGCGCAGATCATCACGCACATCGAGATCGATCATATTTACCGATGCTTTGCCTTTGTCATCAGGCTGTACAGGAGTCTTGGCTCTTAAACTGGTATTGTAACAATTGCGCGCTGTTTTCTGATCTCCTCGAATGGCAACTACCATGCCAGACTTGTTATGGAATTTCATCAAAAGATGAGGCTTGGAAATGATTGCCTTTAATGCGGAAATAGTTGGTCTTCCTAGAATAATGTTATATGCTGATGCGTATTCAATGACATAAAATTTCACTTTGATAGTTTGAGCCAAAGGCATGTTTCCAAAAGTGACCCACATTTCAATGGTGCCTTTGGGCTGTACGCATCCTCCGGCGAAGCCAATTAAGTCCGAACATCCATGAAGAAGATGTTCCTCTGGGATGTGCATCGCGCAAAAGGCATCCCAGAATATGATATCAGCTGAACTACAATTATCAATCATAATACGTTTTACCTGGAGGTTAGCCATGCATGCTGAGATTACTAGCGGGTCATCATGGTCAGGAATGATGTCGCCATAGTCATCATCATCAAAATTGATGGTCTGTCTTTGATCGCGAGAGGTTGATGGGCGTGCATGATTGCGCACTGTCATTACTGACTTCAAGTGCTTCTTTCGTTGAGATTTGGTCGCACCGCCTCCCGCTGAGCCACCGACGATGGTGGCTAAAACACCTGCTGCGTTATTGGGCAGTCCATCGCGGTGTTGCCCCGCGCCTTGCTGTCTGTTTCTTGGTGGAGTTCTATGACGTTTGTCAGTTGATGTTGCTCTGTCCTCTCTACGATCACTGTTACTAGTAGAGTTATAATTTCTCCTAGGACGTGCCATTTGCTCGTTAGGATTCGAGTCGTGATCAGGGCTTCTATCGCGCTTTTGCTGTGTCTTGTATTCCCTGCAAGTGGAAATAAATTCTTAGAGCTTTCCTTCTCGAATGAGTGTCTCAATTGTATTTCTGAGCGCGAGACATTCGTCGGTGGTGTGACCTTTGTCGTTATGGAATTCACAAAATTTGGATTCATCATGCTGAACTCCTTTTGACATAGGAGAAGGTCTATTAACATGGACATACCCTGTTTGGAATACTTCCTTGAAAATCCGCTTGGGAGATGTATTCAAGGGGGTGTAGTTGTCGTATTTTCCCCACTTTCTATTTTCGCGAAATTTGCGTTGGAAATTCTTCTGGACATCTTTTTCGAAGTTGTCTGTACTGGTTCTGGTTTTGGAGATTTCTCGTGAACGATTGTAATCCTCCAGATTGATAAATTTCTTTGAGTGCGCACACAGTTCTTCTATGGTGCGAGGTCGCTGTTTGGTCAGCGACATAGAAAAAGGTCCTTCCAAAAGGCCTTCAGTGATGATGTGTAGTGAGACTTGTGGATCTAAGTCTCTAACCAGAAGTGCTTCATCGAAGAATCTGTTTAAATAATCGCGCAAAGTTTCATTTGACTCTTGTCGAACTGTTTCTAGCGCGTGAGTGGATTTGTATTGCGCTTTGCTTGTTGCGAACCACACGAGAAACTGGTTGGTTAAGTTTTCCCAACTTTGTATAGAATTGGGTGGCAATGCTGAGTACCACCTAAGGGCTGTTTCCTTAAGAGTTGTAGGAAACAGTCGACATGCTATTGGATCGGCGACATCTTGTGCCATCATATTCGTCTGAAATTGTTCCAGATGCTCTTGTGGGTCCCCCTTGCCGTTATATTTTTCTATTGTTATCTTGACATCACGAGGGATTGGGATGTTCATTATGCAGGGGACAAAGGGGTGAATAATTCGAGAAACGGTCCTTGAATGACCATGGGAATTCTCGTTTTCCTAAGTATCTTTGATTTCTTCGCCTTTTTTATTTTTGTGACCCGAAGGTCCTGGGTTCCCTGTTGAGTGCGAACGGGGTGGTTCACTTTCTTTAGAATTTTTGAGATCTTTTTCTTTTTCCTGATTTTTTTCTTTTGCTTTTCCCTTTTCTTGAGTTTTTTCTTTCTTCTTTTGAGCTTTTTTCAGTCGAGCTAAATCCCGATTTTGCTGGGCAATTTTCTTGTTTTGTAACGCGATGAGGTCCAACAGATATTGGGGTGTCGGTAGGTCATCCAGGTGGATGGTAATTGGTGCCACCGATGAAGCTGATTTTTCACGGAAGCAGGGGTCTCCTTCTGTTTTCCTTTTGAACCATTCTGAGGTTTGCTGCGAGTGTCAACCATGTTTTTAGAGAAAGGTGGGTTATAAGATCCCCACAAACAGCGCCAATGATCGGACCAGATACGAATGGGATGGCCCAATGCGTATTAAGCCCAAATCACACACGGTTGAGACTCTTTGAGATGTTACTGGCCTGGGCCTGGTATTGCTGTTGGGGGATGAGCCTGAGCTCTTTGTCCTTCGTCCTTCACGTTGCTCCAGATGGGGGGGGTACCTGCGAAGACACTCTGATGCTTAAGTCAGTATCAGAGGCAGGTGTTTATATTGTGAAAGTGAAGGATGATCGTACCTTGGTGGTACAACGTATGTTTATATAGTAGTCGAGGTGTATGCTTGTATGATGCCTTTCTTCATGGTGAAGGCAAAGGTTCCTTGGTACCAACGTAGTGTGGCTGTCAGTGTTTAAATGTTGAGGAGCTTGCCACCATGGGGTCTAGTAGTAGAGTCATAGCGAGCTGGAGCTGTCCGTAGTTTACTGGTGTGAGGGCGCGGTGGTGTTGCCTTGGCCCTTAAGTTTACTGTCTGTAGAAGGTATCCTGTTGCGTGGGGAACAAGTACATCCTGCATGTCGTGAGGAGGTATTACGCCATGTAGGACGCGATAGGGTCATCGCGCTGGTGTACCGCGATAGGATTATCGCGTCTGTGCCTGCCCTTTATGCCTTTATTCTGGGTCTTATATGGGCTTGGGCTTTCATGTGTTTATTGGTCTCTGGTTAGGCCTATATTATATCTGGATCAGGTAGTAATCATCGTGGCAAACTCTCGTGTGCCTATCACAACTTTCCAATTAGGCTCAGTTCATAGGCCCATCCATTTGTTTTGGTATTTTAAGAAACACTATGAATGTATAATTGACATTTTCTCCATTTTTTTAAATATTTACTTGGTATTGGGAAAGACAGTTTCATAGTCGTTAAGGGTGTTGGGATACCCACATGTGTATGATGGAGCACGTGATCACTTGACCCAAGAATAACGATGTAGGTCAATTTTTAGAGTAAACTTTAGGCTTGATTTTTCTATGATATCAAATATCAAATTATTCTTCGCTAAGGTGTTTTGTCATTGTCAGTTTGTCACTCATTGAAACTTAAACCCCTCGTGAAAGTGAGGTTAATAAATGTCTCTCCTTTCGTTGGCTACTTTACACGCGTGAACCTTTAATCATAGGGACCAAACCCAATCAGAAGCTACTCTATAATTTTGAAATGGATTTTTGTCAAGTCAATGTACTAGTAAAAACAAAAAAGTGTCAAATGATTCAGAGAATTTGGTAAAGAACGAGATTTGTATTCTCACATATGAAAAAGTGATCATATAATCAAGTTATTTGATCATAACAATTTATTTAAAAATTATATATTTTTTCTCTTATTTCATTATCAATGAATGATTGCGATCAAATAACTTAACTATATGCTAACTTTTACACATAAGAGGATCCAAATCCATCAATTTTTCATAAATCAAAACCATCCATAAATGACTTGTATGCAAGTGGTATTGAAAGAGTGGTGTTACTTTCACAACAAAACGTCTCAATATGATTGGATTAAAGTTAGTATGCAAACTAGATTTCAAGTACAAATAACATACTTGAAAAAATTATGGCTAGATTGTATTTGAATGTAATTTTAGAATTCAAATCATGGTTTAAATAGAAGTTGGAAAAATATTGTTTTTCCCTTAAATCATTAAAACATGATGTATTCACTTTTGTCCGCAGGCCAATCTTAATTTTTCTGTAATCGGTGGGATAAAAAAGGTGTGTCAATACTAATTTTGTGGGACAACAACCAAAATACCACAGTATTCACAAAAAATTACCTCAATGTCACAGAATGGAATTTCCCCCCAAAATGACACATTATCTAACTCGCTACAACACCTGGCTAGTTAGGTGTGGACACGTAGCAGCATGTTCATGGCCATGTAAGCCGCTGCACAATATAGCAAGATTACGTAGCATACAGCTTTTGCCACAGCCTGCCACGCGGTATAAACGCTAGACAGCTTAGCGTGTTACTTGTCTGACACGTGTCAAACTCGTTATGCTGCATAACATGTTACGTGTCAGCTTTTCTGACACATGGCCATATATGTTATACTGTATAGCATATTATGTGTAAGTAGTCCAACATTAAATTCATCGCTCCTAAAATAATTAATTAACAGTTCTAAAATAATAAAAGTAAATTAAATTAAATTAAATAACAGACATAAATTAAATTTAATTAATTAACACTCCTAAATTAAATTAAATTACTTAACGGTTCAAAACAATTTTAACTTAAAATACACTAAATGAAATGAAATTAATTATTACTCTTAAAATAATTAATTAATAGTTATAAAATAATTTAAATTAATATAAATTAAATTAAACTAAATTAATTAACAGACATAAATTAAATTTAATTCATTAACATTTTTAAATTAAACTAAATTACTTAACAGTTCAAATTTTTTTTAACTTAACATAAACTAAATTAAATAAAATTAATTAACACTCCCAAAAATAGTTAATTAATAGTTTTAAAATAATTTAAACTAATATAGATAAAATTAAACTTGTTTTTGGTAAACTAAACTAAATTAATAAAAAAATATAAATTTAATTTAATTCATTAACACTCCTAAATTTAGTTAAATTAAATTACTGAACAATTCAAAATAAAATAAAATAAAATAACCATAAATTAAATTAATTAATACTCCTATATTAATTAAATTAATTAACACATATAAATTAAATTAAATTAACAGTCCTAAATTAAATTATTTTAACCTAAGTTATTTAAAACTAAAATATTTAAACCAATATTAATTTTTCTTAAATCATTTTATTTCAAAATACAAAATTCAATAATCAAAATTATCCTATAATTTGTTAAACCACAATGATACAAACCAATATTGGGCTACTTACACATAATATGCTATGCAACACAACATTATGATCACATGTCGTTTTATGCTGCGTGACAGGCTATGACATAAGTTATCTGTCACGTAATCTCGTTGCACTGTGCAGTGACTTATGTTAAGAACTTTGAGGTCACCACCCCAAAAGCTAGCTCAAGGGGTGGGAGTGCCCAAAGCCTTATAAAGGCCATATTAGTTGCTCATCCAATCAATGTGGGACTATATATCTCAACACGCCCCCTCACGCAAGAGCCTTTAGGCTAGAAGCGTGGAAATTGCACAGGCCCATTTTTTGGTTTATCTTTTTGTGCTTTTTTATTTTATTTTAATTCCACTTTTTAAAGCGGGGGACGGTGAGGCTCTGATACCATATTAAGAACCTTGAGGTCACCACCCCAAAAGCTAGCTCAAGGGGTGGGAGTGCCCAAAGCCTTATAAAGGCCATATTAGTTGCCCATCCAATCAATGTGCGACTATATATCTCAACAACTTACATGGCCATGAACTTGCTGCCACGTGTCCACATCTAACTCGTTAGATGTTACAGTGAGTTAGGTGACGTTGTATTTTGAAAAAAAAAAAAAAAAAGTTCACTTCGGGCATTCAAATAATTTTTTATGATTAGTGTCCTTAATTTTGCTTGTATATGTCAATCAATAATTGACAATCATAAGAAACATCCAATCATTTGCCCACACCTCTTCCTCGCCACACGATCTCATACCCTGGAACAAGCTTACCATATCCAATGATTGTGAATACAATCATCCAACGGTTCTTGTTGCTTTTATTTGTGAGTTTATGTAACTTGATTCACGATAAAGAATCACTTACCCATCACCTTGTCCTAGGACCCCCCACAGCCAATTATTACCCAAAGTCGATGGCTCACAAGCCCAGTCAGTACGGTTATTGGTGAAGGATCGATAGCCACAAGATTATTGGCCCATCCTGAAGAGAGGGCCCAACTCAGACACTGTTTTTGGGTCATGGTGTTTACTAGTCGAGGTGGCTCCTTTATGCCCATACATTGAAAATTTAGGGTTTAGGGTCATGAATTTTAATGTGGTGTGAGTGTTTGTGCCACAGAAATTAGTGGCTAAGGAGTTGTGTCATGGACGTGGACAATGGGCACTCGTTGATTTTGAAGTATACTCAAGTGGGTTTGGGTGTATTCGATACAGACCCAGTTTTTGTCTTTTTGATGCAAACAGATAACTAATAGGCCAAAAGTTGGAAAATGATTTACAAAAAGAAAATGTAGTCATTTGAGAATTGAGAAATCAATCATTCAAGGAATTTTTAATAGAACAAAAGTTTATAGAAAAAGTGACGAAAGCAAATGACGAAAGCATCCAAATTATTCAATTAGTCTTCTAATTTATAAATTGCATCTTGTAGCATCATATTTTTTTAAATGGTAGATTTAATTAATTTGAAAAGTGAGATGCTAACATAAGCACAAACATACAGATCAAAATATAAGCACAAGCATATTCACACACAATATTTAATGCATTCACATGTATTTTAAAGCTTTCTGTCATTTTATATCTAACATGTGTAGGACGTAACCCACTTTTTAAATGTCTACCCTTAGAAGAGGATAAATTTGTTTGTTGA